TTCCCCAACAGTGTAGGAGGGTTCCCTTTTCTCCACATCCTCTCCAGCATTTATCGTTTGAAACTTTTTTTGTAAGGGAGAAGATGGTAAATATTTTAGGCTTTATGGGCCATGCAGTTTCTGTTGAAACTATTCAACTCCACCACTGAGGCTGAAAGCAGTTGCTGCCGTCTGTAAATAAATGGTCATGGTTGTGTTCCAATCACACTTTGTCCATGAAAACAGGCAGTGAGCCGTATTCAGCCCCTGAGCTGTAGTTGACATGACCTCTGCCGGGCTTAACATAACAGCAATCATCTGTTTTGTTCACACGTTGAAATTATGATGGAAACAACCTAAGGGTCCACTGATGGATGAATGGATAAAGAAAATGTGAGATACATATAATGGAATACTATTCAGCCATAAAAAGAACGAAGTCCTGCCATTTGCAACAACATGGATGGAACTTGAGGGCATTATGCTAAGTGAAATAAATCAGACAAAGACAAATATCATTTCGTTTCACTTATATGTGGAATCTAAGAAAAAAAAAAGCTCATAGACTCAGAGAACGGATTGGATTGGTAGTTGCCAGAGGGGGCAGGTTGGGTGGAATGGGTGAAGGGGGTCGAAAGGTACAAACTTCCACTTATAAATTAAATAAGTCATGTACTGCACAGCCTGATGGCTGTAGTTAACAATACTGTACTGCATGTTTGAAAGTTGCTGAGAGAATAAATCTTAAACGCTCTCATCACAAGAAAAAGTAATTCTGTAACTCTGGGTGGTGACGGATGTTAACTAGTCTTACTGTGGTGATCATTCTGCAATGTATACAAATATCCAGTCATTATGTTGTACACCTGAAACTAGTACCAGTATGTCAATTACACCTCAAAAAGGAAAAAGAAATTGGAACTATGACAAGGCATGGTGGGGAAAGCCCCGCATGTGGGGTCTCTGCTCCGTGTGGCATTAGCTGGGATGGCTGGACGGGAGCTGGGGGACCTGCTTTCAAAATGTGGCACTCACAGGATTGTCAGCTGGTGCTGGCTGTGGGCTGGAGGCCCCGCTTCTCTCCTGCTGCATCTCTCCACGGGCTGTTGGGCTTCCGGACAGCATGGTGGGCTGGTTCCAAGCTCCAGCATCTCAAGAACACAAGACAGAAGCTGTGTCACCATTCATGCCCTAGCCTTCAAAATCACATTATGTCACTTTTGGAGTGTCAGCATCACATTTGAAGAGAGCGTGAAGAAAGGGAGACCTTGATGCAGGCATCTCACAGTGTCAGGGTGACGCTGAAGACAGACGGGAAACTAGATTGCAGCTCAGTTCTCTGAAGGAAACACACAGGCTTCCGTGGAGATGAAAGGGGGGCGCTCTTTACATAGGGAAACCGGGGAGACTTTCTGGAGCCAATATGGGAAACCTTCCCGGTGATATGGAGAGGGAACAGGCAAGGGAAATTGCAGTGCACACACCTGGAGGTGAAAAAAGCCACAGGCTAGAAAACCCGACAGCTCGGGCTGGAATCCTGCTCAGTCACCATTTCCCTTTGGCCAGGCACTTCACCCAGCGGGCTCCAAGCTGGTCTTTGTAGAAGGTGAGTGTGTACACCCAGCTCACCTGAGGAGTGCCCAGGAGGTCACCATTGTGAGCTGTTCACCCCAGAGCCTGGTGCACAGAGCCATGAAATTCCACATGGTGGCATGGCTTTTTGTTTTTTCTCCCTGGCTTTTGTTTTGAGAGTGCTGGGTGGTACTGTGTTTATAGCCTTGGAGAGTTTCCTCCAAAATGAAATCAATACCGCCAGCCCTACTTTATGGGAGAATGATTTCCAAATTGCACAAAATGAATGCCTCTAATATCTGCATTTCAGAGAAGAGATTCTGTTGCTGCTGGAGCTAATCTGACCCAGCACCAGAGAGCGGGGAGAGTCATGGGGGGCGTGCATTGGAATTGCCCAGGGGAAGGGTATGCATTAGCCAGAGGTAGGAGGTGCTGACCAGTAATTGCTTGGAACCAATCACCATTTCCCAATGAGATCTCAGTTGCAATCCACTGCATGTGTGAGGAAGGGCTGCTGAATCAGCAAAAAGCGGGTTGGAAATAAAATGGAAGAAAGTGCACAGTGTCCAAGAGAAATGGCAGTTTTATGTCAGCAGAGTGGGGGGTGGAGGAGAGCAGGCTGAAGGCTGGGCGTCCCATGTAGGAACCTATGACCTTCTCCTAATAACACTACTTCCCACTTCTGAATGCCTACCAGGATGGATGCGCTCAGCTCAGCGGAGTTCTCACGGTAACCTGATGGGAACTGCTTTTGTGCTCTTCTTATAGATCAGAAAACTGAGCTCAGTGACATTACGTGACTGCCCAGAGCCACACAGCTGCAGGGCCCTGGAGGCAGGATTTGAACCTGAATCTTGAGGAGAGTCTGCAGCCCTTTTGCCTACACATTCACGATATGTAAGTTTTCATTTACACCAAACAGTCCCGAGATAGTATTTCACATCATTTAGAGAGATGAAATAGAATAAATACAAACCGAAGGAGTCTGGTTAACACACAGTGTGGACCAGGAGGTGGAGCCCCAGAAGTGCCCTGCGCTGCAGGGTGAGAAGGGAATTGCTCCAGGTGTTCTGGGAGCCATTTGGCAACTTCCATTAAGTCCAAGATGCGCTGGATCCAAGAATTCCACCCGCAGGCATTTAGAAAACCCTTCCAGGTGGCAAAGGGAGATGCACCCTAGGAGGTGCACTGAATCACTCTAACTGCAAATCACAAAGCAGAACTGAAAACTCCCTACTTGTCCCTCTGGCAGGGGGGTGGGGGTGGTAAGGAAAGGACTGCCCTCCGGGCTGGTGGGTTTTAAGGAGGGGTCTTTGGTGCTCAGGATGAGACAGGAAGTTGAACGTGATCTCTGGGAGAACCAGGAGGGGCTAGTTTTCCAGTGAGAGTCAGTTTAGCCAAAGGTGGGAACAGTGCAGGCAGGAGGTGTGAGCAAGGCACCGGATAATGGGAGGCTTCAAACTGCACCTCTTCTGGAACCCTAAATCTCAGCTCCAAAACCTGTCTTGCCATTCCTGGCTTTGCTCCCCGAGTCACCCCTGCACTCCAAGGAGCCGAGACCCTCTGCACCTCCCCCACGTAGCACTAGGCTACTGTCAGTTGCTCAACACGTTCCCAGAGAGGTGGGAACTCCATCTCCTGTCTGCCGATTTATGGTCCAGGAAATGCATTCCGAATTGGTCCCAGGATACTCGGATCCAGGAATCAAACACCGCCTCTTGGGGGTGGGTGGTGAAGTATGTGTGGAGAGAGACCAGGTAACGCCAGAGTGGCACCCCACTTTGCTCCCCCAAAGCGCGACGGCTGCCGGGATGGGCGATACCTGTTGTCGGGGCGCAGGGGAGGGGCGGCACTTGGGTGTCCTTCCTCCAAGGTATGTGAGTGTGGCTGAGCTTTCTCTTAATTTATGGGGAGAGGCCAATAGCCAAATACCTGCTTTCTGAGGCGAGCACCCCCCTCCCCCCACGCGTGGACTCAAACTGCCTGTAAGGAAAAACAGATCGTTTGTCATAGAGAAAACCACCTGTGGTCCTCCAAGAGCTTCTTCAGTCGAGTCAGGGCCAGGCGTCGCAGACAGGAGCCAGGCGCGAGGGGCGAGGCGCCGGGTGCGGGAGGCGAAGCTTGCGGGGCGTCCCCAGCCCGCCTTGGGCCTGCTGTGCGGGGCTTCACTTCGCAGCTCCCGGGAGGGGGCGGAGAGGGCCCTGAGTGCTTGGCGCCTTCCCGTTACGCAGTTCCTGTCCCTTTAAATTCAAGTCCCGGGAAAGGGGGCGCGGGGGCGCCCCGGCTGGACCCCTATTTCCCGGCCGGCCGCTGCAAGAGGGGACGCGGGGCGGGCGGGGCGCCTAGAGCCCCCGCCC